AGAAGAAAGTGAGTCCCTCCCTTCCCCTCTCCCTCTCTCTTTTCTTCCCTCCCTCCCTCCCTGCCTTCTTTCCTTCCTTCCTTCCTCCCCACCCTAGTATAATATGGTCATTCCTTATAATCAATTGATTAGTTCCAGCACCTCCCACAAATACAAAAATCCACAGATGGTCAAGTCCCTTATATAAAATGGTACAGTGTTTGCATACAACCCATGTACGTCCTTGGGTACACTTTAAAGTCATCTCTCAATGAATTATAATACTTAATACAATGTAAATGCTATGTAAATAATTGTTATACTGTATTGTTTAGGGAAGGACAAGAAAAAAATCAGTATATTTTCAGTATACACTCAATTTTTTTCCAAATATGTTCAATCCACAGTTGGGTGAATTTGTGGGTGCAGACCCCCTGGGTATGGAGGCCAACTGTACTGCTTTATGTCTGTACACTGCTATAAGTTTACTTTTATCTTTTGTCTTCACACCTGTCCCTCAAGGGAGCTAGCACAGCAGGCCTGTCCTAGGGATCAGGATGGCAGGGCCCACACTTAGAGGCCCACGCAGTGACTCAGTGGTGGTGACGTCTGGGTGAGATCCCAGTCCTGGCTCCGGGTCCACTGTGGTGCCCGTCACACCTGTAGCTGTGAGGAAGATGCACCTGTCAGAGACAATGAACTCCTGTTATCGGGAAGGTTTTCCCTGGTAGCTGAATCCCATCCAAAAATATGTGCAAAGCATGAAAGGCTCCCTGCTCTACCCCAAGGACAATGTGTCCCTGCTTTTCACCCTCCACCTTCTCCCCTCACGTGGGGCCACACACCTCCAGCTCAGTCTTCCTTCCACACTGGCTTGCTCCCGTGTGAGGCTGAGCCGCAGCGCGATCAGGATTCCTGCAGCTTGTGCTTGCCCTGGGAATTCTAGCATCCCCCCCGCGGCCATTGGCCTCCCTGGGAGGGAACCAGGATCCTGGGCTGGAGTTAGTCACTATTAGCTCTACAGGTTGTCTGTGCTGTCTCTCCTGTCCCCTAGACCCCTTTGCTTTTAGAATCCCATCTGACAATCTTACATTTTTACCCCCTCGCCCACCATTACTGTGGGAGAGTTTTACTCCCTCTGATTTACTTTAGAGAACAGTTTGCAGATGTGTTTTAGGAACTTAAGAGTATGATTATGTAAAGGCTTAAGGAAAGAAAATTCTAAGATTGCTGAGGTGCCAACAGAAATGATCCCAAGTGGTATTTCTGGCTAAGTTGATCCGTCTGCATCTTGACCAGTTTCTACTGAACTGATTCTTAAAAGTCAGTCTAAAGGGAGTTAAATTTTGAGAATGTAAAGGAATTGAAAGTTGCTAGTGGTTTATTTAACTCTGTAGCCTGCGACCTTGTGGAAGAAAAAATAAATAAATAAACCGTCATCTTATTGCACGTTGATCGTGTCCAAGACGCAGCCAGGAGACCTTTGCTGTGGTGTCACAGGGGGTCTCAACAGAGCTCCACATGACGATGACTGACCCACTCCTCCCTTCTTCCCAGGTCCTTGTCACTCTGTGTGGTGTGGGTTTTTCTGCTTGACCTCCTTTAGGCAACAAAGATCCTTGCTAGGTCCGCACCGTGTGGCCGTGCTATGTGGCTGGAGACAGACGGGAAGGTCTGCCTGCCCTCATCGTGAGCAGCAGTAGCAGTGGGTGATTATGGACCCAGTTCTCATTAGCCTCCAGTAAAGCTGGGTGGCAGCCAGTAGCCATTTCTGCGTCGATGGGGTGTTCGTGCTGTTCAGGAGCGAGGCCTTGCCTGGCTTAGTGAATGTCTCAGTCCCTTTCTGCCTCCATCTCACGATGCCTTCCAGAAGGAGGTGCTGAAATGATTAATGAGCAGGACAGAAAGACAACTGCTGCCCAGAGCAACAGCTGTCTCGCACCCACCACTGAATAATTAGACAAATGAGGCAAAATGGGGTCCCAACCAGCAGGGCCTTCAGCGCAGAAGTGCCAGTCTCCACCGGTGTGAATCAGGGAGTCGGTGCCCCCTCGTGGACTGTCCCTTTAGCTTCCTGGATCCCATTCCCCCAGGTCTACCCTCGGCTTTGAGGTAGTGACTGTCTCCTTGAGGCTGAGAGCTGAGAAGAAGGCTGCGCATGTTAGAAACAGCCCAGAGCCTCTGCGTGGAGCAGCCGGGAGGGTTGGGATAGAAGTCACTGTTGCCAAGAACCTAACAGTGTTTGTAACAAAAGCAAGGACTCCTGGCAAGAGGTCTGAGGGACTTTCTTGATCATAAGTGGTATCTCCTAAGCTCTTTAATTACAGAGGATTAAGCGGGAAGTGGAGTGCTGGACTAAAGGAATAATGGCACAAAGGAGGTGAGGCAGAAAAACCCAATTTCCTTCCTTATTTATTTAAATGAATGGCGAAGAAAAGAGTGGAGTGTGGCATTTCCCAAGTTCGATGGGTTTTAAAAGAACTGCGTATCTCCTTGGCCAGACCCGAGGCTGGGATCCTCAGCCGGGCTGCAGAAAACCAACCTTAGGCCTGGCGCTTCATTAAGATGCAAGAGCGGTCCACTCACAGTAATGGCTCACTAATTCCACCCCTGCCTCCCTGCTTCTCCTTGTGGCTTAGCTCATATTTTACATTCAGCACCTCGAGTCACCCAGGAATGGCATGCGAAATTGTGAAAGAGAAAGGCAGTGGGCCATGTGCTTCCATCAGTTCTGCCTGGCGTCACATCGTTCTCCACCTGTGCTGTGCCCTGCTTGGGCAAGGACAGGCAGTTAGACAGAGCCCAGAGCCCCAGCCAGCTCCCCAAAGTAGCAGCGTGAATACCTGCTCGGATCCCACCTCCTGTGTAACCGGGGCAAATGGATAAAAAAGAACGCAACCGCAAACAGACGACAGAGAGTCACCCGAACAAAAAATGAAGATAAATGTTTTATGCAGCGTCCAGTGGCTGTGAGATTCCACAGGTTTTCCTAGGAGGAGCCTTGCCAGGCCCAGTTCTTAATAACCAGCGCTACTCTAGTGCTCTTCCGTGGGGTCTTGCTTGTGATTCATGGTACCCAGAGTTCGAGGAAGGGAATTCTAAAACCTTACCACTAGCACCATTGTTGGAAAATACCAGGGTATTAGTGTCCAGAGGGAGAGAAGTAAGGGAGGAAGGAAAACAGGAATTGAGCACTCAGTGTGTATACAGTACTGCGTTCAGCACCTCACATGTCCACTCACTGAATTTTCCCAACAGTACCCTAAGACAGTCGTTGTTATTCCTGTTATACAGATGAGAAAACTGAGGCTGTGAGAAGTTCAGCTATTTGTGGGAGGCAGCCGTTGGCATGATGGGAAAAGTGTGGGCTTTGGAAGTGGATCAGAGCCCAACCTAACCACCCACTGGTCCATTGATCCAGGGCAAGTTATGTAACCTCTGTTTCCTGCTCTGTGAAATGTGGACAAGTGTGCCTACACGCTGGATTACGGGAGGATAAAATGGGATAATGTAGCTAATAGCACAGTTCTAGCACACAATGGACCCTGAGAAAATAGCAGGTATCGTTCCATGACCTCACAGCGGAAGTACCAAGATTGGCACTCTAAGAAGCCAGCTTCCTCCTGCCCTGGGCACCCTCTGCCATGACACCTGACCTCCAGATCCACACTGAGGTAATTACCCTATATGGACAGGCACAGCCGGGCACCGTGTCGGACACCTCCTGAGCCTGGTGGCCTTGGAATTCTTTATGTTTCAGTCTTGTGCGCTGCAAATGAATCGCTGTGCCTCAGCAAACAGAGCTGAGATCAACAAGGGCAATCTCACTTCATCAGGCACAATGTATAATATTCTCTGAATATTGCTGTATGTTTCAGATATTTCATTTAAAAATATACATCAGCCCCTTTCCCCAAAGTTGCATGATGGAACTTTTATCAGGCCTGACAACTGATTAGGCAGAGAGGTCAAGAGTTTAAAAATAGTCCTTGTGTATACCTTCACAATTTGCATAATTACATTCCTGAAATTATGTCTCTGCATCTGCATGCCCCGCGACGCTATGTATTTGTCTTTGCTCCACTCGTACCTAGCACAGAGCTGCCACATAGCAGGTACTAAAGGAAGTCCCCCATACCATGTTGGACTGACCTAGCAGCTAAGAGCGAGTAAGAGAACAAATGCTGTCTCCTTCTCGGGGCCGCAGCCTCCAGGCCTACATGTGGCTTCACCTTGACTTCTGCTCACTGTAGGACTCCGAGGCAGCCTGGGTATGTCCATGAGCACCGCGCTTAGCCGTGGGGCCTGGCTGAGTTGTTCACGAGCCCTGGCGGTGCTCTTGTTCAGAGACTCAGAAGGAGGGTTAAAGGGCGCTGCCCTCTTTTTCCTACAGAGATGTGCTTTCGTTCTCCGAAATGATAACTTCTCTGGGCTCACTTGATGGGATCCCAAATAACATGTGCCAAACCAGTGTTTTATCACTGTTGCCCCTTGGAACACATTTCAAATGCTGGCCTTTAAAAATAGGCCCTTTCGCGGGCCCTTAATGATGACACTAATAACTGTGGATTTTTGTCACCCAGAGTCCCGATGAGCCGAGAAGGGGAGTAAATTATGGAGCTAACTTTTATGTGCATGGTTTATTGATCTTTGAATTTCAAGGGGACTACACTAGCCCCTATAGCTTGACAGTCCAGATTAGCTTTTCATCTATGTAATTGGGCCAACAGAGCACAGTTAATTTTTAATTTATATTAACAGAAAGACAAAGAATATGATGTGCCATCTCTGTATTAAAGTAATGAACATATCAAAATTGTCCACCTGGTAATTATGAATAAATCATCTTTCTCCTGACCCAGCAATGATTTAGGCTGTTAGTTCATTGTGATTTGCATCGTAATGTATCATGAGAAGGTTTGGTCCTGCGTGAATTTTTAGATCACCTACAGATTCGAGAGTACTCCATTGTCAACATCCGGGTACCTTAATCCGCGTTATTTCTCATCTTTGCTTAACAGGTCAAAGTCATGCTTCGGATTTGTTCGACTTTGGCTCGTGATACCTCAGAATCCAGCTCTTTCTTAAAGGTGGACCCACGGAAGAAGCAGATCACTTTGTATGATCCCCTGACTTGTGGAGGTCAAAATGCCTTTCAGAAAAGAAGTAACCAGGTTCCTCCTAAGATGTTTGCCTTCGATGCAGTTTTTCCACAGGATGCTTCTCAGGTGGGTATAACCTCCCTCTCCCACTCAGGCAGGGGCGACAAGAGAGAGTCTGCTCATTCTCTAGGACCTGTGACATGCTGTCCTCTGAGCATGGGGATGGACCCATCCCTCCACCCTCATCTTGAGCTCCAGTCCTTCTGAGGGCCTGGTATGGTACCCTGGGCAAGTCCATTGTGCTGGGATTTCAATAAAATATACTCCTGGGGAGAGGAAAGAACAGGCAGTCAGACACAAGAAGACAACAGGCAGAATCAGAAGTTATGGGGATAGCTATAGCTCTGTGGTCCAGCCTTACATACTAGTAATATAAATAGGTATCAATTAGCTGTTGCTGCTTTACAAACCACGTTCCAATTCAGTGCTTAAAACAGTAGGCATTTGCATTGCTCTTGGGTCAGCCAAGCCAGCCTAGCTTGGCTCTGTGATACGCTGTGGGCTGTGTAGGCATCTCGAGGCTCTTGGCTGGGTGCTATCACATGGTTGGAGATTGGCAGGATTTAAGCTGGTCTAGAGTGACACTGGCTAGGTCAGCTGGTATCTCTTGCAGGCTAGCTTGGATTTGCTCACCTGGCAGTGCCCAGGATTTAAGCATGAGGCCTCTTGAGGCCTAGGCCCAACCCTGATGCAGCATCACTTCTGCATTCTGTTGACCCAGATTCAAGGAGTGGGGAAGAAAGTCCTTTTGATTGGATGAGCAGCAAAGTCACATTGCAAGAAGCATGTACACAAAGCAGGGTGGAGAATGGGGGTCATTTTTGCTAACCAACTAGCAATATAATTTTGGGATGACTTGGGGTCTCTGGTGTCCAGATTTCTGGATTGCAGACAGCCAAAGAATGGCAGACTGAAATTACACATTTCAACCAATGTGATCCTCTAAAGGGGCACCAAACAAGGCCCACTCCTTCAGGAGACTAAGGATTGGGGGAACTACACAAGTCAAGGCTGGGGAGATAGTTTAGTGGCAGAGCATGTGCTTATCATATACAAGGCCCTGAGTTCAATCCCTGGCACCAAAAATAAACACAGACATACATAAAGAGATAATGCCAGGCCTCGGTGTGCAGTGGCCTGCTTTGGTTGCTTTGTGGTATCATATACTGGTTCCTTTCTGATAAATTTCTAGTACTCTCAAAATTTATACAAAACTCAGGTTAGTACGGTAATAAATAGCCTATAGCTAAACCTGAGAACAGCAGTACCAAAGGTTACCATTTTCAGCCTGTTAATTTCTTCCATGTTGCATCTGTGTATAGGATGTAATAATGCTCACATGGGCCCCCAAATTATAGCATAGACATAGAACGCATGTTATAGACTCCATTCATTAAGAAGCTGAGCATGTGGTTTCCCAAGAGTTGAACCAGAAGAAGACAAAGTACTTTATGAATAAGTTCTACAGTTTCTCTGTTCATTTCAGTTTTTGTGTTGTACCACCCAATGGGCTCGGTAATTTAAACCTGACATTGGGTCTAATAAATGGCCTACAAATAATTTAATTAACACAATTCAAACTTTTTAGAAGCAAATATTGGTAGGTTGTGAGAATTCCAAAGCAAGCCCTAAATTAAGCGTGGACTATTAATGAGTTTTAGATTTATTCTAGAAAAAGGAACCATTTTTATTGCTAGTCTTTGTTTACATTTTGCACTTGGTTCCCAAACTCAGTATGCTCACTATTACTATCTCACTCATTGCAAAATGTTTTAATTTGTTCAAATGCCTAATATTCCAACTTACACTTCTGTATTAATTTGCAGTTTTCAAGAAGTTTTATAAAATTCACCCAGTTGACTCTTTCTAGAAGTGTGTAGGGAAGGAAGAATTCACAATTTTCACATGACAGAGAAGGGAGCTGAGACACAAAGAGTTAAGTCACTTGCTCCAGGTCCCTCTCCTGAGCAGAAGTTGTTCCTGGATTCTCCCATTAACATTTCTGCATCCTCCTCAATATGGTGCATCTTTGACCTCCTGTGATTTTATCCACTATTTTCTAGCAGTGTATTCTTGGGCAAGTCACTCAACCGCTCTGGGCCTCCGTGTCCTCATCTATCCAATGAGGACGTGGCCAAAAGTTACCTCACTGGGTGGTGTTGATTCATTGAGTGGAGATGCATACAGTTCTTGGAACAGAGCCAGGAACATAGCACATGCTCGATAAATGTTAGCTATTTTATTATATCGTCAGTGTTATGTACTAATATCCTGCTCCCGGGCACGGCCAGCTCAGCTCCACAGGGTGAACATACTTTGAGCCTCCACCCTGTGAGCAGGGTGGATCTTACTCTCAGGTCCTTTCTGTGGAGCAGCAGCCACCAGGCAGGTGTGAACTGCTTTTCTCCCAGTGTCAAAGCACATCAGCTTCCCAAAGCTAAGCGATGATAGAACAGTCGTTGTTCCTCCTCACCCTTCTGAGCCATCCTTATGATCCTTAACTGGCCTCAGAAGCCACTAGCTGCCCACTTTTGGGACAGGCTCCTGCTGGGTCCTTCTAAGGCAGAGGTGGTGGGGAGGACTCCAGCCTGTGGGTGAGCAGAGGCTCCTGGCAGACTTGGCACTGCCCAGGAAGGCTGCTCACTTCTCTGAGATCCCAGGGAGAGGCAGCAAGTAGCTTCCAGGGGCTCTGCCAGCCCTTGAAAAACACCAGTGGCCAGAACACTGACCGCTCCTCCTGACAGGTAGCCTGGCAGGGACTCTGCAAGAGTCCACTCCTGTGTCCTGTGTCCCCTGCCCCCTGCCCTGTATGCAGATAACTCAGTGACAGCAGCATGGCCTGTGCACAAGCAGGATTCTCCCTGGTGACACTAGACTTAATACTTTCTTCTCTGTGTGACTCAAGGTGGACTTCCCGTCCAAAGAAGCCAGGGCTTATTGGGTTCATTGGGCCATTCAGTGCCCCTGCTTTGCAGAGGCACCTCTGGAAAATTCCATCAAGATTCTCCAGGCCCTGTCTCAGGCCTTAGTGAGCTCCTTGCCTCAGTCCTGGGGGCTGTGAAAGATACTGTGGTCCCCACAGCAGCCCTGTCCTGCCACCCTGTTGGTCCGGAAGGAGCCCTAGCAGAGCTGCTGAGACGACCACCCCGGAACAATTGACCATTGTTGGGAGTGTGGTTTTTCAATTTCAGTTTGGGAGAGAAAATTGATTTCCAAATACTTAGGTTCATTGTGCTGCTGAAACCTGCAGCTGAATAACTACATTCATCGCTGAGGCTGCCGTTTCCAGATCCCCACCGGGAGGCCCATAGCTCTAAGGGCTGCAGAGGCCCAGTGTCTGCACGGCTCTCAACGCTTCCCCAGGCTCAGCCCCGAGACAGAAATGAGGGCAACAGGACACAAAATAATTTTGTCCTCCTGCTGCTGTGAAAGTCTCAGATGCTAACCAGAGAGACATTTCCCAGATCTCCCAGTCTGCTCCACAAAATTCACAGAATTCCTATTGTTTGCAGAGCTCTATATTACTGGACGATGGCGGGGAATACAAGATGCCCCGCAGCCTGTGGTTCCTGTCTGAGGGTTTAATAACCAGGTTGGGGGTGAGACCCACACAGGCTACAGAACACCCTTTAACTGCCACATACTGACAAGCTGTGGTTGAGATTATATATGCTGAGTAAATGTGCAGAGAAAGAAAGAAAAGGCTGGTTTGGACAGGAGAAGGCTGTGAACTGAAAAAGAAGAGAGCAGGGGAGAAAGCAGACACACATCACAAACCTGCTGCTTGTGTCAGAACTGCGGTGCTTCTCAAGGCCCGTATCCTGCTGTGGCACATCACCTTTATCCCTCTACTAAGTCTCACCCGGTTCATAGACTCCTGTGTGCTTGCGTGCGTGCGTGCGTGTGTGTGTGTGTGTGTGTGTGTGTGTGGGAAGGGAGGCTCTGATTAGCAGAGCACAAGTAGACAGTTGCAATGCCTTGTCCAAGAGCCCAGCAGATGAGGGAAGGGAAAGTGGTCGGTGAAAGCACCCTATGCACTCACTGCAGCCTGCGCCTGCCTGGTCTATGGATGCAGCCACTAAGGGCCCCACAGATTAGCATACGGGACCCTCTCAGCTAACATGTCCAATACTCAGGCTTGCAAGGGGCAGGAGGTCCTGAGGCTTCAGAGCTCCAGGGCAGAGGCTGTCCCATCTGAGAATATGAAGACACCAGGACCCTAGGCCACTACAAGGCAGGCTCACTTGTGCATGGTTAATGATGCCCCAGCTGTCCGATCCATTCACCACTCATGTCTCCTCTTGCATCTGGCAGGCTGAAGTGTGTGCCGGGACCGTGGCGGAGGTGATCCAGTCTGTGGTCAACGGGGCAGATGGCTGCGTGTTCTGTTTCGGCCACGCCAAGCTGGGTTAGTGAGAGCGGTGCTTCTTCCTACTGCTTGTCAGCTTCCCCATCTCCCATCATGCTTCTGTACCAGCCCCGAGTCCCCTGATGAGAGGAAGGGCTAAGCTCTGCGGAGCTGAACTGCATGATCGTGAACAGCCCTGGCTGCTTATTGTAAGTGGGCACCCATGCATGTAGGACAGACTTCAAGTACAAGAGATGAACAAGGGAGTAGCAAGGTTGTTCCAAGTCAGGAGCAACCAGGTCTGGATCTGGGAAATGTCACTTGGTCCAGGTCAGAGTTGAGCCCAGAAAGCAAGCAGGGAAATGTACATTTCCTCAGCAGGGGCTCTTTGGGAAGCAGATGGGGCTGCCTGTCCCCATCCTAAGAGGATTTGGGTTGGTGATGGAACCAGTGGAAAAGCAAGAGGAGCAACCTCCAAACCCCCAAGCACCAGATGAAGCTGTCTTTACTTCCCAGTGACATTCAACCCCTCCCAGAAATCTCCCTGTGCTGAAGTAGCTGGGAACAGAGGCAGCAAGACACCCATGCAAGGGTCTTGATGAAACCCTCGCACCACCCTTCATCCTAACTTGGCGCTGGCTGGCTGCTCTCCGGCCTTTCCTGATGTGCCTGAGAAGTTAGTGCTGTAAGTTTGAAAAGTGTCCCCTGGCAGAGACTGCACCAAAGGTCTTGCACGGGACACAAGGGCAGTTCTCAGCCAGCACAGAAAGTCCACCCTATCTCTCTGTCTCTACCCTCTCCCCTACCTCTTCTTTCTCTTCTTGATCTCAGATCAAAGCTGGGATCCAAATTTTAATGGAATTTACTTATGCTATAAAAATATACACAGCATTTAACTTGAGAAAGGATATAAAGTGTGAGTATGTGGATTTAATCTGTGGGGCGGCTATAAAAAGCACAGTAATTGTGATGAAAAGTCCCCGTCTTCCCACTCTGTGTAAAACAGTTGCAGACACTGGGTAGCCTGGATTTCATCTTGTCATTTGTTTGGGCTCTCACATTCTGTGTTAGAGCCATTTCGTCGCTAAGACTAAGAAAGCCTTTATTTTTTTATCTTTGTCAACTGCTTCCTGGTCTGGTGGGGTTTTTTTGCATTTTTTTTCACTCCTTTTCTCCCGTTTTGCCCACTTCCCCATGCCTTTCTTCTGTGTCTCTGGCATCTGTTTTTCTGACTGTATCAGATGATGTCTGGACTGTCCAACTTCTTTCTGTTCTTCCCTTGCTCTGGCAGGAAAATCCTACACCATGATTGGGAAGGATGACTCCATGCAGAACCTGGGCATCATTCCCTGTGCCATCTCTTGGCTCTTCAAACTGATCAACGAACGGAAAGAAAAGACTGGGGCCCGTTTCTCAGTCCGGATCTCAGCTGTGGAGGTGTGGGGGAAAGAAGAGAACCTACGGGACCTGCTGTCTGAGGTGGCCACGGGCAGCCTGCAGGACGGCCAGTCCCCAGGCGTGTACCTCTGCGAAGACCCCATCTGTGGCACACAGGTGATTGATTCTGCAAGCTTGGCTTGCCCGGGGTGGCTCCCTACCGCGGAGGCTGAGGCAGGGGAGCCCATGAGTTGCTCACCACGCAAACGCGGAGGCTTACAAGTGTTTACTTTAAAGTGGACTGGAACTTTATGGCCTGCAGCTGTGGGGCCATCTGCTCGCCCAACCTAAATATTTGTACCTGGAATCTAATTGACAATGAGCAGGAACCTCAATTGTCATAGCATTTGGGGAGAAATTGAATGCACTTTCTTTATGCCCCCCCCAAAAGGTACAATCTTTCCTTTGTTTAACAACAAACTGCAATATTTACTGCTCTGCACAAATAGCTTCAGCCATTACTTGGGCTGTTTATGGCTCTATAAACTGTGTTTCTGGCACCGGTTTATAGCCGGATTAGCAGTGCTGTAGGAAAAACTAATAACCACTTTGTAATTAGAACCATGATATAATTGCTGGAGCTGTGGAAGCCAAAAGAAGCTCCAGTTTGCTTTTTCAGGTTGTCGTGCCTAGTATGAGGGCCTTTCCCTTGCTCTTTAACAGTAGATGCAGTAGTGACTTGGCAGTCCCCTGGTTTACAGCTGGAACAAGCAATCTGGTCAGTATCCTGAAGTAGGCCTTATTTTTGCTTTGACCAGAGGCAGCCTTCTTTGAGATAGGTGTTCAGATTGATAAGTATCTGCCCCATCCCCACTGCGGTCGTTTGCAAAGGTGAGCCACTACCATATCTGCTGATGCTTAGCCTCTGCTGAAAACACCTTTATGCTTCCATTTTCCTTTCAAACCTTCTCTACTCCGCTTCCCACTTACTTGGAGGATGTGTTAAAACATCAGTCATTGATTGCTGTCCCACCCCTCCCCAGGAGTTTTTGGTTCAGCAGTAGGGCTGGGTTACAGCCCCCAGTTTGGCATTTCTAACAAGCTCCGTGATACCACTGCTAGTCCGGAGATCACCCTTTGAGAACCACTGTCCAAAGCATAAAATATACTCACATGGTATCTACACAGCCCCAGTGATGGAGTCGGTAGTACTCTGCCCCACTGCTACTCACAGGTGCATTAACTCTTAGGAGCCCATTAACAAAGTTCCACGTAGTCACCTAAGTGAAAGATCTGGTTAGTGGAAGGTAAAGAAAAAGATGAAAAGATCAGCATCCTCGTTGTTTTAATTCTTCTTGTTGAGCACATTTTTAAATTGTTTGGTTTACTTTATAAATACAAAACCATGCACACAATACATTCTGCCTTTGAAGTTCAAAGATTTTAATGGTTTTAGTCTCCAAATATTGGTTCTCATAGTCCAAAACTATAGGTATAGAGTCAGACTAGAAATTTGTCAAAATTTGTACTAAGGCATCCTGCAAATCAGTTCTTTGAACAAATCATGTTTCTTTTCTCCCACAAGCTGGAGTGCTGGCCACATTCTGATAACATGATTGTTTCGATTCAGGCTTACTGTAATTGCTAAGGGTTCTTATAAGACTTAGACACGGTGCTCACTATGCTTTCTCTAATCAATTACTGAGTATGCCATGAATAGGAATCCAGGAACTGAAGGTAAAAATAGATATCTCTTAAACACAGATGAGATTTTCAAGGATCATGCATATTTCAGTGTGTTTTTTACATGGAAAAGACCTTTTTGTTCAAAAACATTTATTATGTTAGTAAATGTCTCAAATTAGCTTTAAATTAAATAACTGAAGAATTAGGAGTCAAGTGAAAGCTAACCAAGTTTTTTTTTAAACTTCTTTGGGACACCAGTGCTATCAGATCTGAAATCACATTTTGCAACCTACCTCTCTTCAGACAATCTTATTTCTGAGGTCAAGTTGGAGTCCCATCCCCTGTGTTTTCTGGGGTAAACGGATCATGCAGGATGTCGGTTTCCCATCCTATGCAGGGATAAGCATGGGCCATCTGCTCCCACTGATCATTCAATGCAACCCTTTACTTTTCACACCTGCTATTTACAGATTCTACTGTAAAATAGGTAAAAACAGGTTGGATCCAGGAAGTGTGCTCAATCTTAATTTTCAGAAATCAGTTAATTAAACAGAGAATTGCCTGTGACCTGGTCCCAGAAGGACTTCTGGCCTTAGTGAGGCACATGGCTTTATTGTGCAGAATGAATAGCCAGCTGAATCGAGCTGTTAGCACCCGAGCGTGAGTGACAGACAAGCCCCCCTCAGCCTGTAGCCTCAGCTCCTGGCTTTCTGTCTTTCAGCTGCAGAACCAGAGCGAGCTGCGGGCCCCCACTGCAGAGAAGGCTGCCTTTTTCCTGGACGCTGCCATTGCCTCCCGCAGGAGCAACCAGCAGGACTGTGACGAAGAGGATCACCGCAACTCCCACATGCTCTTCACACTGCACATCTACCAGTACCGGATGGAGAAGAGTGGAAAAGGCGGAAGTAAGTCAGCCCGCCCCGCATTGGCATACCTCCCCATCTAGGGCAGCTACGACCTTTTCTTAATAGAGAACAGTTGCATTAACATGGAGTTCAGTGCTTTGTAATTTTAGATAACTGTAGAGTCTGAGCTGAAGTTCACTTTGAATTGTCCAAGGGCAAAAGGTTTGCTTTGTTACGGATAATTTACAAACACAATTGCCACGGGCATGGGGAAGAACAGACTTACAAAAGAGAAGCAACTGCTGAATGGTATCTTTCTGTTCACAAACCCTGAAGGTCCTCATCGGGAAAGACTAAGATTCAGCCACCACAGCACCCTGGCAATATGTCCCCCATCATCAGCTTGAGTCCACTCTGTGGCCTCGACACAGCCATGTTTGTGAAAGAGCCTGTAAGTCAGACTTTGACATCGGCTGCTGGCTGCCTCCCCCAAGTGGCTCCCATCAGAGAAGTGTCACTGTGACCAAGCTGCACTGCCAGTCCCCAGCACCGGGGTTCAGTCTGCCCCTGGCTGTCTTGTCAAAGCCAGCACTGGCCCTAGTGCAGTTCTCCATCCTTGTCAGTAGTGTCTGTACTCAGGCAGTTCCGGTACCGGTCCTTACTGGAGTGGTGCTGGGGATCTGGGGCCATGGGCAGTGTGTTCTGCTATCCTCACTTGGGTTTCCAAAGTGAGCTGTGGGCCAGAGTGTTGGGCTGGGATAGTGGGTGGAGAATGGGTTCTTCCATGTCTCTTAAATCCACCTCTGGAGGTTTTCAAAACCCAGGCAGCTGACCCCCTGGATGGTCTTCCCAGGGACAGCGGGTGCCATAAAGGAAGTTAGAAGTGTAACCTTGGTCTAGAAATTAAATCCAATTAACGAAAGCAAATGCAGTCAACTAATCTTTTCTAGATGCATCCTGGAAATAAGACATCCTCCTGGGAGTCCTGGACAGGCAATTTCTCCCTAAGTCTCATTGTTGCCCAGAAGACTTGCAGGCTGGACTCTTGGAGATAGCTCTTCAGGGCGTCTGTTGCCCCCAGGTGGAAGCCCACCATCGCAGTGCCTCTGTTGACCAATGTCCTGCCATTGTTCCTACTCTTCAGTTGAATTTTATTTAATTTTTTTGTTTGTTTATTTTTGTACCGGGAATTGAACTCAAGACCTCACACTTGCCAGGCAGGTGCTGTGCTGCCTCAGTTGAATTTTAAACTCTGGACTAAAGAGGTATGATTTACAATTAGTGAAACACATTTTCAGATGAGTTCTGGTGGAGCTACACAATCAAGTCAGAATACAGAACAAGACAAAGTTCTCTTTCATCCTCTGTAGTCAGTTGCTTTTCCCTCCTCTAACCCTGGTGACTCCCCACCTGATTTCTGTCCTTTTGCCTTTACCCAGAATATCATATGAATGGGATCATGGGATCCATATGTGGCCTTTTGTGCCTGGCTTTTTTTATTCAGCACAATGAATATGAGAATCCTCCACATTGCTGTGTCTATCAGTTGTTCACTCATCTCCCATGGTGCCTGCTCCTTTAGTTTTGACTGGCCCCTTCTCCCATCCCCAGGAGGGAATGAAAATACCTCCACATGGGGTGGAGGACTGCTCACCAAGGCTGCCCTTTGTAATGCTAAAAATCAGCCTTGAGCCACTACTGTCTCCCCACTTGTGGTCTGTTGGGCACCCCAGGGAGATGTACCCCTTTAGCAGAAGACCAAATGTCTCTTGACAGCCCATGTTGGTGCGATGGTGTGACTGGGGACAAGCAGAGTGTGTTGAATGGGGATCTTTCCGGGAAGATTAATTCTCAAAAAAAGAGTTCACACCATGTAGAACATTTCCGTTTAGAACAACATTTTATTGAAGCAAACAAGGGATTAGGAGAGGGATAAGGAGATCCAGACCTTGAAAGCCCACAGCAGATTTGTATGCACATTTCTCCTGAGGATCTGAGAGCTGGCTCTGAATCCTGCCCCCATTGTTTAATTCTGGTTAATGTCTTAGCTGAGTGAATGTAAAAGTGTGAAAAATGTTTACTTTATTCTTTTAAGCAGTTGTCAATAATAATAATTATCATAGCCTCCCGTGAACTGTAGTACTTTCAGCAGAGGGTAACTCATAAAAGACCTGAATCCTGAGCCAAATGGCTTCCAAATGGCACTGAGCAGAAAAACTCAGAGGGTGGGACAGGCTCTTCCTCCTTGCAGGTTGCAAACCAAAGTGAGAACAACTCTTGTTTTCAGGTTTTCCCTTTCATTTCTTGGTTCTGCTTTCAATTTGGAATCTCAAAGCAGAGAAATCGTGAAAAGAAGGAAGCAATTAAAGTACCTCAAACACAAGAACTTGAAATTCAGCTTCCACGAAAGTTTAAGTGGGGACGTTCTCTAAACCCAACAATGGACTCTCTATTTACTAAAGCATGAGCATGTATTAAATATTCAATGTTAAACTCACCTTCCTATTTTTAAGGTGTGAAAATAATAAATTCAGGTTAAATATTAAATAAATGATAGATTCAGGTTTAAAAAAGATAAACACCACTAATGGCTTCTGCACCCTCTTTTAAGTGCTTCTGAATGTTGTAGTAGAGGGAAATAGAGGAAGGGTAGTTGTTCAGGCTACTGAGAATATGAATCATGAATCCGGGGCATCCTCCCTACCTGCTGGAGTACCTGGCTTCTTTAGGGGAGGGATCCAAGCCAGAAAAGGCACAGCCTCTTAGCCCATGGATTGTTTGACTTCAGGGAATTTATATGTTTAAAATATAATGAGAAAATGTGGGGTGTTGTTTAAAATGGAACTTTTGCTTACTTATATATAAGTAATCCTGTGGGCTTGGCAGCCGGAACTCAATTAAGGGAAAGTTTATTAATTAGTCACTCATCAGGGAGGCAGGAAACAGAACTCACTGCTGTTGCCCAACTGTTGGGAGCTTAGACGATGGATTCAAAGGTCTCTGCTACAAAACTAAATATACCGTGTATGGGTGCACCCACGCACCCACGTCACACACCCATATGCGCACTTTATGCACACATACAGGCATATAACTAAACAGGCAAATGTGTGAAACATTTGTGGTCAAGATAGAAAAGAACATTCTTTGTTTATGTTATCACTCCTTTTGCAGATAGCACTAGGTTAAGCTTAAAATAGCTTCCCAGTTTCTGATGTTTTTGGAACATTAGTAGGGCTGATTCTTTACCCATCATAGATGCCTTCCCCTGATAAGTCTGTAATGAACTGAAAGCCTCCTTGGGAATTCCAGCACTGGAGAAGAGACTCCTAATGATGAGAGAGCTGCTCCTCATAATGGTGTGTGTATTAGGCATTTAGAACAAGAGACTATAGTGCTGTGATAATCCACAGCAGTGATGTCAAAGAAACAGAACTGTTGATAAAGATGGTCTTTAAAAGCATCACACTGAGTCTTCTAAGTTTACAAGCAGCTGTTGCTCAGAGTCCAGAATGATCAGGTCTCTGATTTATCCATTCACCTTTTTAACTCCAGAGGTGGCAGTGTGGGCTGGGCTGGGTGTGTGTGTACGCACGAATGAGTGTAGGAGCTCTTGGTGTGCATCCGTGTCTGTGCTCACCTGCTAACAAGCCTGATCAGACCATTTCCTTCATCTCAGTTTTCTTTTGACAATGAACCAGCTTCGTTTACATGTTGTGGAATGAATCAAATCAGCCGTGAGCCACTGAGGGCTGTGCATCTGATATGATTCTAAAGATCCACTGATGGCGGGGAGGGGCAGATGTGGGAAAAGGGACCTAGGAAAGAACTTGGCTCTTAGCTTGCGCAGAGCTGAGTCTCTGCCTTCCCAACCCCAGACATGAGTATGTCCAATGCTGCTGAGCTCTCATTTCAATCCTGCTCAATAATGAGGTAACCGTTTGTTACATTCAGATTTTTACAATACAGTTTTTGAAAACTTGGCTAGGAGACCAAATAGCATGGCTTTGGCTTCCCATCGTTCCCTCTCATCTATGGCAGCAGCTCCTAATCTTCGTCTGAAGCCCCCTGCCCTGGCTGACCACCCCCAGCAGATGGGCAGCTTCCTGGTTCCTGAGAACACAGAGGGAACCTGGTATCTTTCCTCAGTGGCTCATGTTTTAGCTCCAAATATCCTGGTCTCTGCCTTGATTTCCCCCTTACTCCCTTCCCATCAGTTTGTTTCTCTTCTCTCCCTGCCTTCTTTCTCCTGTTCTCGTTTGCCTCCTCTGGGACGTCACCATGAGTTCGTACCCTTGCAGCTGTCTCTCAAGGTTATAAATTTTTAATCTCTCCTGCCACTAAAATCAAGGCTACCTCAGCTTGGGAGGAAGAGAGGGACAGAGGGAAAGAAGAGGAAAGAAACAACAGTCGTATCATCCCCACTCCATTTCCTCCTTGAGCTGCCCACTCCATGCAGCCTTCCAGATTCCCCCCTCTGTGTTATGTCTTTCTCCTTTGAGTCCTACAGTAGCGTGAGGGATATTGTGCTTTTGCCTGAGTTTGCTGTATATGTTCCTCATTCGTGTGCCTATGTGAGCCACATTAGACTACACAGTCCCAGAGGATGGAGGTCCTTGCTATTCATTTTTGGTCTCCACTGCGCCGGCACACCAGGGCTGGGTGCCCACGTGTTACATACAGTGCACTCTGTGCTGTGTTTGAAAACCTGCGTCACTCTGCTGTCTAGTATTGCCTGATTCAGGATGAGAAAGGCCACCCAGTTTCCTTTCATGTAAGTAGATGGCTTAATAAGCCCTCTTACACGAGGCAATCAGAATCACTGAAAAAGTTGTTAAAGGCAGCAGTCTTATAAAATGATACGTTCCTGTCAGAAAGACGGTAACTTAAACAAATGTGTACGTGTTCTTCAGTGTGATGGCAGAGGGCTATGGCTTTCTCTTGGAGATGAGCTTTCAACCTAACGGTCTGACTTTTATGAACTATGCTCATGTCACTAGTCTAGGTCTGGCTTTAAATTTTTTCAAGGAGGCTTAAGAACTTAAGGCATTTGTGCAGCC